TGGTCTGTCTCAACAGACCCACCTTCTGAGGCGGAAATCCATAAGGAGATCCAATCCGTGGGACATCACAAAGCACCGGGCTCCGATAGCGGAATAAAGCTTGTTAGAGAACTACATCTTCTGTTATCTAAAGTTTGGAACACTGAGCAGGTCTCCTCCTCGTGAGGGAGGGGATCGATTGTTGTCCCCATCTTCAAAAAGGTTCCGCGCAATGACTACGCCAATCATAGGGGCATAAGCCTAATTCCGATGGCGTCAAAGCTGCTAGCGTCCGTCATTCTCCGCCGATTGTACACTACACGTGAGGAGCAGACCCGCGAGGAGCAGGCTGGGTTTCGTGCCGGTCGTGGCTGCNCAGCTCCTAGAGCACCGTCATGCCTACCAAAGACCAAAGATCATTGTATTCCTAGACATCCGTGCGGCCTTCGACTCTGTCGATAGGACCGCACTATGCAACCGTTTCATGAGGAATCGAGTACCTGAGAAGTAAGTGTCGATCCTCAAAGAGTTGTATCGTCATACCTCAGGTCGGGTTAGGCCCTATGGCCAACTTTCACCACCCTTCGCCGTCTCCTGTGGAGTTCGGCAAGGCTGCCCTTTATCCCCATTCCTTTTCAACTTTGTTATAGAGGATGTACTACGGAATGCTTTGTCCGGTCTAGCAAACGGTGAAGTTGAACTTCTCCCAGGGAACTGAGTTATTGACTTGGACAGGAGTATATATACCGATGACTGCCTTGCTTGGTGAAAACACAGGCAATACAAAAAGCTTTGAATCGCTTGGCGATAGAGGTATTGTATGTGCTTTGCACCATCAAAGTGCAAAATGCTTGCCTGTGCCTGCACTCAACTTCTGTGGTGATCAGCTAGAAGTGTGTGAGAGCTTTAAGTACCTCGGGAGCTTGATCGCAGCTGGTGTGGGTGTTGGAGAGGAGATCACATCACGAATAGTGAAAGCTAGAGCAGCTTTCGCCAATCTGCGATGCCTGTGGCGCCGCCATGACTTCTGACTGTCTCTTAAGGGAAAGGATGCTAATCGACTTTCTGTATTTAACCACCGATGTATCCGAAGCATTGCTCGTGTCTGGTGGAAAAACCGGGTGAGTAATGACGAGGCTCGTCGTGGTGTGTTGGGTGCGGATAATCGTTCTCTAACAGAAGTAATCGCTTTACACCAACTTGGATGGTTTGGTCACGTATTGCGTATGCCTGCCCATTGACTACCTTTCCGTGCTCTCTTTGCACGTGCCGGGCAAGGCTGGAAGTAGCAGCGTGGCGGTTAGACCATGACATGGGTTGGAGGCATGAAGAACCTGGCCTCAGCTTTGGCTTCGGTTGGTGCAGCCTGCCTTCCGGGTTACGGCCCAAGGGATGAGGATTGTCGTTGGTTAGAGACGCTGAGAGATATGGCTCAGAATAGAAGTCAGTGGTGCGAATGCTGTACGGTCTGCCTGTCGCAATCCCGTGCACAGTGCAAAACAACAAACAACACTAAAAAGTATCAAAGATGTACGGTGAAACACACAATATATTTTTTTATCCCAGTTATCTTCCATTTTCCCGTTTTTAACTGTTTCACCCCCTTTTCACTCTGTTCTGTACCCCAAGCCACCTGTCCCCTTTTATTTTTATCATTATTATCGTTGTTGCGTTGGCGCCATGCTTGTCTACAAGCCGATGGTAAATATATATATATATATACTGTAACATGGGATTTGAACCTCCTGGACAACGGCACTCCTGTCAGTAAGTTCACTGGTACAAACACTATTCAGATTATCGGAAGAGAGAATACCATTGAAAACTTTGGAACCGCAATACCCATTGGGAATGAGCAGAGTATGTGTAGGCTACAGATCAAATTTTGTCAAGCGTGTACCACATACATTTGGTGCTACCACTAACAAATAAAGTGAGTTAATGTTATGCATCTTTTCAGTAAATCATATATTCCTGAAGTTTAGAAATAAATTTAGTTAGGCCGCTTTTATTTAATATCAAAGGTCCAGGCGAGTCTGCATGTGCAGTTTGTCCAGGTTCGTTTTTGATCTTATCAGTAGTGTATAAGGGATCAGTTGACGCCAAATGTCCCGGATGTACGTGCAATCGTCGAAATGCCGCACAATCCTTCACTCGATTCCTAGGGAACTCGGTTCAACATGCACTATTCAAGTTACTATCTCATATCAGGTAAGTCAGATGGGAAATGGTGAGTAGATCCAGTTATGGAGCTAAATCAATGTAACACCTTCGATTTCGGCTTTTTGAACCCCTCTTTCACAAACAAGTCGTTAAAGGCGTTAACTAACACAATTCAGATTATGCACATTATTGAGAAAACCTTCTTTAATAAATTTTCACTCGGATGCGTCGAGATACATGAGGCCAGCTTTTTCCATTTGAAACGCTTTCACCATCAGATTAGGGGTCTTTTCCCCTCACAAGTAGATAATTCAAGTTCATGAGCAAGCTGCTCATTTCAAATTGACAGCATCCATGACATATACCCTCAACTATGGTCGCAGTTGATTACCTTCAAACAACTCATACATCATCATCTTTGATGCCATCAAGGAAAACAGCTCAACTTATCACAACTGCAGTGCTGCTTTGATTTTTTGGAAAATATATGTCATTACTAAATGTGATCATATTATTAGCATTTTATTGACCAAATAAAATTATTTACATTATTC